TGCAAATTATAAGTTCAAACATTTTTGTTTAACTCCGTCCAGTTCAAATATACATCCACATTATTCCATCTAATAAAATATACTATGATATATTAAGCTATTTAAGAAAATACGCTGTTCAAGAAAAAGAAAACCTCTTCACTTCATAGAATTTCGGGAAAACAGGATGCCTATAAAATAATAAAAATTAACAAAAATAATAATAATAAAAAAGAAAAGTAACGATCATAAAATCATAATTCACCACAACAGTTTACCGCATTATAAATTATGTTAAGACAAAGTGTGGGGAGCTTTTTACAAAGAATAAGTATAATAATAATCACTACACTACACAATATACAATACAACGTTTAAATAAAGGAGCTGTAAGTTTCACTTTTTTGTTTCGTGTTTTCATAATTATTGTTTTTGTTAAACTAAACATAAAGAAGGGTAAAAGAAAAATACTTTTCTGTTCTTATTTTATTATTTTTCTTTGTCTAAGTCATAAAACGACCCTTAAATTATTGTTCTCAAAAGTTTCAATAGTATACTATTCATCTTATTACAATAACATTTACTCTTTTTTTTTGAAATTGACTTTTTCTTCCCTAATATAATCCCTATTTCATTAAAACGTAAAATAACAAAACCGGGTGTCTTAAGAGTATAAAAAAATTAATTTCACTTCTATTAAAAAAAAAAATTAATTTTCTTTTACTCCAAAAAATTTTATTTTTTTTATATTGTTTTCAATAATTTAAAAAATTCCGGCTTAAAAAATAGGAATTCTTTGGTATTTTATTTCTTAAAATTAGAATTTCACAGCTTTAAAAGCTCTTCACTTAATTGTTTCAATAAGATTTAAAAGCATTGCTATTTTAACTTAAACAAACGAAAGCCCAACATTATATTAAGCCCTAATCCTAATCCAAACTAGAGGATTATACAGGAATTAATTACTAATATACCAAAATTCTTAATTGATTTTAAAAAAAAACTTCAACAATTAAGTAGTAAATTCCATAATTAAAATAAAATTTCAATAAAAAAAATTAATCAATTTTTATAAATCACCCGATTTACATTAATTTACTCCAATTCTATAATTTTAACATTTCGTATAGGCAAGTACATATATATATTACGCTATATATCTACATAAAATACAGTAGCATACTATTTACCTATCATAAAATCGCCAAGTTTTATGACCTATGATAGTCTGGGAAAAAAAATCATAAAAATTTTACAGAAACTGTATAAAAATTCTCTGTTTTGACTTACTATGTGAAGGAGAAATCATTATGTTTTTTGGACTATAAGAAGTCATAAAAAGGCTCTGAAATATTTCTATTTATTTACAATACCAAAATACCAACCATATCATTAGATTTCTTTTGAATTTTTTTATTCTTATATAATTTTTTCTTTTGCGTAATTGTTATATAGGTTATAATTGTTATATTTTTAACAATTGTGTACATAAAAAGTCCACTAAAAGAAAATCTTCTTATAAAATCAATTTTTTTTATAAGAAAATGTTGAAATCCGAGAGCGTTAAATGTTTATTACTTTATGTCCCATTAGTTTAGACATAAAGCTTATCGGAACCTTTTTTTTCTTATTTTTTATCTGTTTTTTTTTTTGTTAAGTACAATTTTTATCTATTAAATATATTGCATATATTTATATATGTGTATAGTAAAATATGTATATAGAGAAATAAATATATTAAAATACAAAAATATAATTGCAATTTTTGTGTAAAAATTTTTGCTACAATTAAAGACAAAAAAAAATATATTCGAAGATTTATTTAAACATTTATTTTTTTAAAAACGATAATATAAAAATGAAAATTATTTGTTTAATTTTTTATTTTTATACTGTGGTATGTTTACTTCAAATAAATCGTAGAAAATCTGGTAATAAAAAGCACTGGTTTATTATAAAACCAAAGGCTACAAGTATATTACATTTTATTACAATTTATTGTAAAGTATGTAAACAGTCGATTACAGAAAATATGGATCCTTCCATATTTAACAATATTATTTTATATGTGATAATATGAACATTAAGACTTAAAATCTTATTCAAACAATTTTTTAAGAAGTAATCGAATAAGAATATAGTCCGTATAATCTTCAAATACAGTATAGGGGTTAAGAGATAAATTAAGATAAATTAAATTTAACTAAATCATAAATCATTTCGACTTTTACATTCCATCAGAATAATATTGACTGACTGTGCATTTCAGGTGCAATATAATTACACATGTGTATAGGAGTTGGCACATATACTTTTATTGATTTTAATTCAGAAACAAAAAATATTAATATATGGAACTAATTAGCCATTATAATTAAGTAAATAATTATATAAAGAATTTTTTGCAATAATATGAATAAAATTAAATTACGTATTTGGACAATAAGTGCGGAAAAGGACCTCTATTGTGTTTATATAATTAAAAAAAATTAATATAGATCTTGTGCGCTTTTCAATTATATTATCATACGCAAAACACAAATTTCAATAATTAGATTTAATTATTTTAATATTAATTTATTATTCCGTTACTAAATTATTATTAGGCACTTACAAAATAAAACTCAAATAATATACTTTCACTTTAAAAATAAAATTATAATGTGGCTTCACTGTGTTTTATGTAAAGTTGGCTTATAATTTATGAATATTGTGTGTATGTATATTTCTTTTACTATATATTTATAATTACACAAAATTAACTACACTCTGTAATATCATATCTATATAAATCTATTTCTTGTAATGAACAAACGTATATACATACCTATAACATGTAAAGACATTTAAAGGATTTCTTTTCTCAGCTCATTAAAATATGGTTTTAAGCGTATACTCTTACCCGTTTCCTATGTTAATTTATTTATTTAATTTTCATTTGTATTTTTTGCTATAACTACTCCTTTGAGGACATTTCAAATTGTTAACATACGTTAATATAGCTATATATTTATGACATAGACATATATGTATAATATGTAAGTATGATAATATGGATAACGAATATTCATATAAAATAAACCTTTTTGTTTCATATCTACATGTGTATTTTTTTCACATATACATAATTAGAAATTTTTATAATTTAAAAATATTTATCTGGAATAGGAAAGTTTATATTTGTAAGTAATAATATTGATAAAATTTTAGACAAGTGACGATTTTTAATGTACAGTAATAAAAATTTTAATTATGTATATTAATTAAATACATGTATATGTATGTATGCTCTCATATAGCATAAAAAGAGGCTATAAAATTTTATGTATTTTATTATTATTCTTGAGTATAAAATAAAAAGTATTAAAAGATTTTTTAATGTAAATTATTATAATTCAGTCTAAAATATGCGCTAAAACAGATGTTAATAATTAGACTCCAACGAATTAAATTATATTTCTTTACAATACACTAAAACCACTCATAAGATCATACGTATATATTTTTTGGAGATACGCCTTAGAACGCGAAGTTCGAAAGATTTTAAATATTTAAAAAATTCAAAATTTTGTTTTTTAAATGATTTTACATACTAAAATTAAATAATTTTGTAATCGCTAAAAACAAAATTAATGCATGAAGTACCTTGCTGTAAACATCGGAACATGAAGTACCTATAATTGTACAAGGAATTCTTAAATCTGTGACTGGTATAAGTTTCTACATAAAAAACAAACAACTTAAAATGAAATTCATGATTTATTTTTAAAGTTAATAATGAGCTTTTAACAACATTCTTTGTTCTCTTTAAGGTTTTTTAAAATTATTAAACTTTTTTTTTATTTGTAGCAAATTATCTTTAATATCCTAAATCTCACAGGAATAATAGTAATGTTACACAACCAACAGCAAAAATGTTCATGCTTACACAAATTGACCAATGAAAATGTGCGTTATCATGAGAAATTATACTCCTTTGCAACTATTTATAATACTTACCCTGTTCTCTTCAAACTAATTTTAGTTTTGAAGTATGTGTTTTTCACTTTTACCAAATTAAATACTAAATCGTAAATCCTTTATCGTGTATAAACTGCTACGTTTTTCAAATGTTTTATTTTATTAAACATGTGACTGCCATTTAAACTCATAAAATAATATATAATATAAAAATTGAGTTGAATAAATTAGCATTAATTCAAAGGTCTGTAATGGAGCCAGCGCATTTCTCTTGAATAAAATATGAAAACACTTAAATTTGATTTAGAAAATCTTCACTCCTGTATAAAAAATTGCTTTTTAACAAAGTTTAAAACTTAAGTTCTGAATTTTATCCAAGACACAATCCTTAATACAATTATCGAATAAAATTTCTAATAGATGTCAGCATTTTATGTAAAAATATATTTTTATTATCTGTTGAATAATATTCTCTTTTTATTCTTCTTGGTAAAATTAAATTTTTTTTATTATTGTAAAAGAAAAAAATTATTCTTTAAAAATTCAGATATCCTTCCTGTTTCAAACTTAACAAAGGAAACGATTCTATTTTATTTTCATACAGATTTAAAGAAAAAAATCTTATGAATCTTCTTAAAAATATTAACGAATGTTACCTCTGGATTATCTTAGCGAAGACTATTGACTTCGCCATACACAAAAATAATGGTTGATGATTTTACAAACGTATTTGTTTTGAAACAATTAAATGATCCAAACTACTTTGTTTATAAATAATTAAGAAAAACAAAAGTCGTATTCAAATTAGATATTTTCAATCGATTCGTTTTCCACAAACAAATAATATGATGCGAATTCTCTCTTCATATTTGAAAATTTAGCACAGCGATCAGTATACAAACATATATTATAAGTTTCCAAACACAGATAATTCAAAATTAGTTATGCAATGGGAAATTTCGAATTAAAATCTTTATATATTTTATTATTTAAAAAAATTTATTGTTTTTAAATTAGATTTTAATAATTTACATAATATATTATATTTCTTAAAAGCTTTATTTAATTTTTGTTAAATTTTTTAGTTAAATATTAATATTTATATAGATTATATAGTAGGTAAATGATGTTCAGTTCTGTTAAATGAATTTATATTATTACTTTTAATAATCTGCTTAGCCATTTCTTGTGTTCCTGGTAACAACGGTAATGATGTATTCGAACTCTAATCATTTATATGAAAAGTTTTTCCAAAATAGAAATATAACAAAACAAAAAAAGGGATGTTGTAATATTTAAAATGTATAATGAGTGCGTGGACCTTTTACGTGAAAAAAGCACTTATAAAAGTATTAGTGGTGCATTTCAAAATTTTTTAACTTATTTTTTTTTTTCTGTTTTCTTTTTTATTTTGTGTTTCATTGTGTACTAAATATATACAACTATGTATAGATTAAAATCTGAAATTATATTCAAGTAAAATAATTCTAATTATTTAAAAAATTTCTAATGAAAAAATATTTACTCTCTAATTTTTTACTTAAAATTAATAATAACTAATTTTAAATAAAAAATGCAAATAATAAATTATATAAAAAATTTTTAGGATTGCACATTTCTTAACAATGACAAAAAATTTATTTACAAGCTAATGAACAAGAATTATTTAGAGTATGTAATTTTATTTTAATATATGCTTTCACATATAGAAATCAATTTCCCCCTAAACTATGCAATTAATTTTCTTTCACTCCATTTAGCACTTTTCATTACTTCTCATTAAAAAGTAAGTGTAAATGGAAATACCTCTGAGTACTTTTCTTTTTTACGTAAAAGGAACACCTTAAAACTTATTATATAATCTTTCTTTAACAAAATATTTATAAAATGTATGGATGCAATATATGTTAATATTTATAAACAATTTTTGTTTTTGACACCTTTGATTTGTCACGATTTTTATAATCAATTGATGTTGCGAGTGATTCTAATTCCTTTTGTCTAGCAACATAGTCCTCAAAATATGAATGTTTTAACAATTTTTCACATGTCCATCGTTTTGTTGGATCTTTATCTAAGCATTTCTAAAAAAAATCAATTAATAAAATGAACACATAAAAAAAAATTTGACCATAAGAAAATATTTACTTTTAAAAAGTCTATTGTAAGTGGATTTTGTAATGCTTTTGCGGGCATTTTATCTTCAAGCGTTTCCAAAGTAGGTGGTACTGGAAGTGTTATACCCTTTATATGAAAATAAATATTCATGCAATGAAAATTCTTAAAATTTCAAAAAAAAAATTTGTATTTATTTACTTTAAAATATTCATTTTGGCCAAATATTTGTATATGCCTTGGTAATAAATCCCCTAGTGTTTTACGAATTAAGAACAGTTGATCAACATCACTCCGACCAGGCCATAATGCTTGACCTCGTACTAATTCAGCAAAAACACAGCCAATTGCCCATACATCTACTGGTGTACCATATTGCGTATCACCGACTAATAATTCTGGTGCACGATACCAACGCGTTGCAACATAATCGGTATAATTTTCGCCCGGACCTATTTTAATAATTACAATTTTAGTTAAATGGCTGAATATTTACATACATATTATATGATCCATATACGTATTTATTCAATATGCTGAGTTTTGAAAAAACTTACTTAACATTCTTGCAAATCCAAAATCACACAATTTTACTTGTCCTTGAGCTGTTAATAGAATATTTTCAGGTTTAATATCACGATGCAAACATCCCTGTTTATGACAGTATGCAACGCCTTGCATTGTCTGATAAACAATTTGTTTTGTTAAATGATCTGGACAACCATTTGGGTATCGTTCTAACTCATGTAATACAGTGTGCTCACAAAATTCAAATACTAAATGCAATCGGCGTTTACGTCTAAAAACTTCCAGTAATGATACTAAATTTGGATGTTTTAGGTTCTGAAAAAAGAAAAACACAAAACATGTAGTGAGTTAAAGAAGAGCGTAAAAATATACGTTTGTATATGTATAAATGCAAATATAGTACGTTAACAGTAACAGTACAAAAAAATAATAAAGTTTTTCTCAGTTCAAGTGCTCAATTATGGAAGTCTGCTCCAATATAATCGACTTTCAAAGTTGAAAATACAGATAAATTACACTGGGACAGAAATCCCTAGTAGCCATTATTAACTTAAATCGATGTGACTGTCCAACCTTAATATACTTCACTAACTTAGCCTCAAGTTGTAATTAAATATTGACTAATTACAACTTCATATACAATAATAGGTATCGATTACAAGCATTTTCAAGCTTTTGACTGAAGTCACTATTTTTGAAATATGATTGAAATTCGATTAAGTTTCGCATTTGTGTAGTCGGGCTTAGAAAAAGTTCTCTCTTATAACGGTCTAGCAACTTTTCTGTTAATTTTACAAATAATCACAAACTTTATTTTAAAATTTAAGATGTTTTTACAAATTTAATATGTTTCACAATTTAGTACTTTTACAAGAATAGAACCCTCATTTGTAATTAGAATTCAAAACAAATTCTCAAAATTTAATATTAAAGCCTTATAAATTTCCCAATTTCTACAATACATACTAATAATTATTATACTTTACCTTTAATAATCGAATTTCCCTTAATGCTATTTTCCTAATTGCTGGATCCTCTTCTGATTCTACAAATCTTTTAACTGCTACTAATGCACCAGTTTCACGATCACGGCATTTATACACAATACCATAACTGCCTTCACCCAAACGACTTAACTTTTCATAACGTTCCATCTTACCACTCCCTTGAGTCCTGAAAAATCATAATCAAAAAATATAATGTAATTTTATAATTTAAGTAATAAGAAAGCTTTAGTCATATTAAAATTATTTCAAGAAGATGTTTCGTTTATTAAAATAAAAAATATAAAAGTAATTAGTACAAATTTATTAATCTACTATATTATAATTATTATGATAATAAAGTTTCACTACTCAAGCAGACTATTGTTACATAAGTAATAATTATTTAAAGTTATAATGATGACTAATTAGCTACTTTTTAATTATTAATTATATAATTAAATTAAATAAATATGTAAATTACTATTGTACCTTTTGTAAACATTCAAAAGAGCTAACATTGTAATTTTCTTCATTTCATTTAAATTTTATTTGCATACTTTTAGGTATGAAAGATTTTTTCTTTTTATTCAATTTTAAATATCACTTTTAACGCCTAATGTTAATAAAGGACTAAACTAAATAATGCGGTAGTTGTCTAACTTAATGCTTTGAATTTTGATTATACATATGTACAATAAACATACACATATATTTGTACAAACCAATATTTTCATAGCAATTGTATAAACTCTTATGTACTGGCTATGATTTACATAATATAAAAATATGCAAATAATTGAAATGAATTGTGAAAAAAAAGCAAAGCAAAAAAAAAGTTTTTCTATTTTTGGTCAAAAATTACAGGGCGATTGTGTTTTGTTTTTTCTTTTCTTTTTTCTCTTTTATTTTTTACAGGTTCTGATGATGGTTTACAGTTTGTATATTTTTATTTTTATTCTTATATTTGAACTGTTTATTGTACCTACAAATTAATAGGTATTCATTGTACACAGGGTGCCAAAAATAATCCTAAATCACAAAAATTTAAATAAAATAGAGAAAAATTTTACTTTTTTTCGAAAAATTTATTTGTAAATTATAAATGTACATATGAAGCTTATTTTATGTGACACAAGTAATATTTATATTTAGATGGAGAATAAACGAAATTGTATTTTAGACGGAGAATAATTTCGGAGACGGAGATTTTTTATATATTATCTGAACAGTTCTTATTTATAGACTCAGTGAACAAAAACAAGACACCCTGACATTGAAATTATAAGAAATACGATATTTTAATACACAATTCAGCTCATGAGAAATAAATACTCAATGAGTAATAAATACTCAATTGAAAAGATGTTCAATTCAAATATTTTCAAATCCGCATAATAAATAAATAAGAAAACATCCACTTAGGTTTTCTTATAATAAAAAAAATGTGAACTTAACATAATTTACAAAAGTATGAATGATTTCAATAAATTTTTTTAAAATTAATATTTTTTTAATAAATTACAAATATAACAAATCTATAGTTAAATACCGCATGTGAAATTTCAAAATTTTACCATCTTTGGTACCTATGTAACGTATTAAAAACGCATACCCTGTATATTACTTTGTTTTAATTAAAATAATTTTTTTTAATGTATATAACTAGAAACATACACGTGAAATTTCTTACCTTCTTTGCAACTTTCTAAAAAACAACATAAAACTTAAAGTCCAAAACGATAGCAATTTAAAAAAATTTTTTTATACAAGTATAAAATACAGTTTTTTTTTTATATTCTATTTTATTTTAAATCCATTAAATGAATTTTTTAAATAATTTTTTCGATTTTTTACACCAATTTTTATTGGAGGTGATTTTGTTGAAGGTCATTTTCTGTTTATATATACATAAAAGTCAATTATAATTTGTACATATGTTGTTCTTTTATATATCGTAAATTATTGCGTTTAATAAATATTTATTAATATATAATATACATATATATACATATATAAATATATATATAATATAAGTTAAATATTGACCACAATTAAATAGAATTTTAGTATAATAACAAATGCCGACATTTTTCCCATTATTTTAGATTTACATACATATACACATAAAAAATGTTAAAAGTATTAAATCACAAAATGATGTTTGATTTTTATTTTTTATTTTTTTATATTTTGTTTAAAGGAACTCACGAATTCAAAATATTTAGATTTAACAAAAATTATATTGAACGCAAAAATTTTAGTTTTGTGCTCCAAAAATATAGAAAACGAAGGTGCAATGTGATTAATAATTCGGGAAATTATAATATTTAATTTGAACATGTAATTTGACACTCAATTACATTCAATATAGCGGCATGCAAATATACGTAAAAAACATGAGCTATCTTTTTTTTTGGAAAAAGCTTACTTGCGCAGCTTAATTCGGTTAAAACTGAATCATATTGTTAATTATGGCGTTTAACTTTTGAAACTTTATCAGTGTACAATGTTGTTAATATTTATTTTAAAGGGGCATGACACTTTTAAGAGAGTGTCATGCCCCTTTAAAATAAATAAGATATTTTTTTAGAAAATATAAACTCTGGAACTCTTGATAAATTCAATTTATAGGCTGATTTTTAAAACTTTTCCCCTGCAGAAAACCATTTCATTAATAAATAATGGTCATCTATACGATTTTCTATTTTTTCCCATGTACATATAAATAGCAAAATATTCCAATAATAAATTCTTCCCTGAGAGTTTTAAACTTGTAATATACATTCAAAATAAACCACTATATTTTCTATGTATAAATGATTACCTCAGAAATTGTTCAAAAGTTAAAATTGATTTACTGATTTTTTTCTAAAAATTTATTTGTTAACACGCTATAATAGAGAACCGCTTAAATCGTCAGGAACTAATTTACATAAAAAACTGATTTGTAAGGAAGTTTCCTTTTGCAGTCCTTCAACATTTCCAAAAAGTAAAAATGTATGTATATACTAATTTTTTTTCACTAAAATGAAAACAAAAAAAAAGCTAATTTTTTTCTTCGTTTTTCGTAAAGAAAAAATAATAGTTTATACAATACAATAATACAAATTTTTGTTATGTATATTAAAAAAAAGTTGCAAACGGCAGTGAATAATTGCTCTTTAGTTGCATTAAATACCATTCTAAATATGGTTTTTACAAATCTTTCACTACTACTGACCACAACACCCGGGTTATTTTTATACGTCCATAAATATACCTCCATACGTATACAATATATACATACATATTGAACAAATTTCGTTTTAAGTGAAAATGTACACGCTCATATTGTCATATGTTTTATATACTGGTATATGTATCTTAATTAATATTACCCTGAAATTCATTTGGATTACCACTATATTCGAAGGGTATACTAAATTTGCCTTACCGTTTGTAACGCTAAGAAAAAACGGTCTGAGATGTAGACTCAAGTGTATGTTTTTGATCAACGTCGAATTCTGAGTCGATTTGGCTTTGCCTGTCCGTTACTCAAAAATTATTGGAATTATAATATAGAAATCTTGTGAAAACAAGTGTGTTTTGTTAGGGCTGTTATGTGTGATAAAAATCATTGAAATTTCTTGACTCGCTGTGGTAGAAGCCATACAACTTAAATAGTAGTTCGATAGAAAATATAGAAAACACAGTACTGAAATTTTGCATAAATTAATATGGTAATATAGCAACTTCAAATCGTAATCTTTTCCATAGTCAGCTGGTATACTTTTTCGCATATAGGATACAAATTCGTACGGGTATCACAGAGTTTATGCGGTCAACTCTATTTTTTTCGTTCAATTTAAAATTTTTCAATTTAAAATATATTTTGATTTTTTTCATAATTCCCCTCCTTTTAAATAACAATGAGAAAAGTCTGTTTCGATTGATTTCTCAAATGACTTAAAACATAAAAAGCCAACTCTATATACCTATTTTTTTAAAAACTCTAAGTTGCTCTCTTTTTACACGACGGGCCAAATAATATATTCAAATTAAAATCGCGAGTACGTATACATATTTCAATGTTCAATATTTTGGTTGCTCTTTAATTAGCATAAAAATTTCAAGACACGGTTTTGGAAAACTATGCATGACAAATTTTAAGTTAATTTTTGGCTTTAGATTATTTATACAATAATCATGATAGAGTACCTAAAATTTTACTAATATAATATAAAATCTTTAATAATAAATTAATTGGTAAATATTATTTTATATTTTATTTTATATTTTGTCCCTAATCTCAAGGGAAAAAAAATACAATAAAGCGAATAATCTACACAGTTAAAGCTTTCGATACGGATATCTAATTGCCGGAAATACTTCATCATTAGATTTCTACGCATTAAAAGAAAAATGAACTTTGACCCAAATTGGTGAAAATGAAATTTTATTTTTTACTTTAAAGTTTTATTGTTAAAGCAATCAAGGATAATGAAAGGTTATTTTTAATAACTCATATAAAATTAAATTTAGCATTGTTTTGTGGTTAAACTACTACTATTACTTTTTAACCATTAATACTAATTTAAAACGATATTTAAATAACCCATAATAAATGGGAATTTTTTGAAATATTAAGAGGATAATTTTATGATACGCGTTTGTTTTTTAATAAAAATTATTATCATATTCAAATACATAAATTTTCTTATGCGGGAATTCCAAAATCATAAAATAGTAAAATAAAAATATTTTGAATTTATTATTTTACAAGATAATAAAATGAAACTCACGTGCCTCTTAATAATTTTAAAGTCCTTGAACATTTATTATAAAAATCAATAATAAATTAATGTCATTTAATTTAAAAATAATTATAATATCAGAGAACTACATACATACATACAAAAATTGTAGACGAAACATTGCATGAAAAAAATTTTTTCATATAAAAAATATTAATATTTTCTTTTGTGTATTATTAATAGTATTCGGTTATAACATTTAATCATACCTACAAAATAAATGTTATATTATAAAAGAAAAAAATTCTAAATTAATTCTTTATTTAATAAAAAAAGAAAAAAGCAAAATTGATTTTTACTTCCCTGTACTTCTACTATTAAATAATATGGAGGTCATTGACAGTAGTATTTGAATGTTTGTATAAATTTTTTTATAAACGAATATTTTATTTTAAATAAATTTATTATTAGTAAGAAATTTGAGTTAAAGAGACTACGAATATAAAATTCAATAAAATTTTTATGAACTTATTGAAACTAATAGACAAAATTTTACAAATTACATTTCGTATATCTTTATACAAATAATATGTTTTCCGCTACATATAAATGATTGTAAAATTTACTTATATTTGATTGAAAGTTATTTCCGGAAAAGACATCAGTTTCCATCACAAATTATAGTTTGAGCAGAAGAAATTTCAATAAATTAAGTGAAATATAAACGCGCTAAGTCTTCTATTAGATATTTATTATCTAATTATAAGACATTGTACTATGTAATATAATAGCACAATATAATTTAATTCAATTTACTACCAGAATTTGTAATTTGTTAATTATATTCTACTTGTTTGATTAATTTTATATTATTAAAAACAACCTATATATATACATACGTTAGTTTAATATGCTTGTGTGCTTTTTTAACATTAAGTGTAATGAACTATATTACAATTAAAATGTGCAATGTGTTTTTACTAAATAACATATACATGATTAGTAAATATTTAAATCTAATAATATTATATAATATTATATAAAATATTTAAAAAAAATAATTAAAATAGAATTACCTACTTTTCAATTTTTATAATATTTGAGATTCCAAATTATTAATAATTTTAAATATAAAATTAACTTAGTCATGCAATAATAATTATTATTATAAAATGATTAGTAAATTGGCTTTATAATAGGATTAACAAATTTTTTTTAGTATGTTAATTACTACCTGTTCCACCGACAAGAATCTGCTCGTAAATTCTTTGGAAAAAGCAAATCTATTTTTCTGTCTGTCATCACTTTCTTTCTTTCTTCTTCTTTGCATACTTTTGCGCTAAAAAAAAAATCAAAATACAAAAAAAAAAAAAAAAATAACAAGACTATTTTAACATAATTAAATATTTTCGTTTTTCAAATAAATTTTTCAAAAATGTATAACTATCATATACATTTATCTTATACACATTGCAATCGAACTCACAACAATGTAAAACACTTCATTGTTTGTAAGATAGGTTAACGAAATGGTAAATTTATCTATTAAAACATTTTGTTATTTTAAGCAAGAGAAAATTAATTACTTTCAAATCTATATTAAAACATTCATGTTGCAATTAAGACAATAAAAAGCCTTAAATCTTGTATTTTAGCCTTTAAATACTTTTTAGAACAAATTTAATTCTCCCTACTTAATAGGAAATTAATTCTTTAAAATTAATTCTGGGCTCTAGCCAGGTCGGTTTCCAGAAGTTTTCGGAAAAAGTTATAAGGCCATTTAAAACTTTTTTAGACATTGATAAAATTGTATGACTATTTTATTAAAGTATTTATAAAACATGATAAAAAGGATAAGAGGGGAACGAGGGGTGTGAGCTAATATGTAGTAAGTTCTATCAAGCTCCATTTGGTCTTAGTTTCTGTAGCTCATTTTAAAATCTTATTTCTGCAACAGGAATTTATATATTAGCTCATTTAATTTATATTCGTACAATTATGAACACTAACCAACTTATAGAATATCAGTATTTTCATCTGAATATTTTATTATTATGGATAAATTGTAATTTGAAATCTCACTGACGATTTTTATTTTGAAGCAACATCACTTATTTTGCATGCCTTAATATTTACAATGAAAATTAATGTTTCTGCAATTTTTTTTATTTGCAAATTGATCTCATCAATAAAATGAATATCAAATTACAGCAATTTTAATGAGCGGATGTTGTGAGTATTCGCAACTATTCTCTCTTATACAATTCATTTTTATTTTACAGTGGAATTTCTCCACCATATTAAATAAAATTATAGCCAATTAAAAGACAAATTGCGAATACTATAGTAATGTATTGATTGGAGTTATAATGATGATAGTGAAACTTAATAATTCAATATTGTATTTGAAATGCATAAATGAAGAATGAATGATTGAAATTACACAAAAATAAGTTAAAAATGTTTAAGCGATACATAATAAAGCATAACAATATCTTTTACAGTTTTAACAACTAACTAACTTAATCTATATGTTATAATAAATTAAGACAATATAGAGGAAGGACATTTAATTTTTTTTTAAATTTTATTTAATTATTTTGTTATTATTAATTTAATTCTACTTGAAATGGAAATAGGTCATAAATTATACAATTTACTGTATAACTCAATATTACGAGTATAATTTCATTGATTTTATTGATTATCTTTATAAACTTAACTATATACATACATACTTTTAAAACTAAAAACTTTATAAAAGTGAAATCACCATAATTATGATAAATTCTTGAATAGGATTCGAAGCACCTAGCTAACTTTGATTTAGGGTTTAAAGTATTTCTTGTTAAAGTATACAAATTTTAATATACAAATCAAACGAAAATATCAAAACACATATATGCATACATATATAAATTGAGTAAATTAAAAAAACTGTAATCACAGAATTCATCTAAGAAATCACAAAATTTTTGCTTCATGATTCCTTAAAGAAAAATATTTTAAAAGAAATTCTTTGTTTTTTATCAAATACTAAAAAAACTATTGTTTCCAAGGATATTAAAATAAACGATACCAAAATAATATGCCATACACCATATAAATGGAAAATATACAAGAAAACCGAAATTTTTCATATGTAACAGTTATCAAACAGGTGTATTACATTTTTAACTGTTAAATGAAAAAGACATAATTTACTGTTACTTTTACGTTTCTAGGAATTATTTCTTTTTATATACATATGTACATAAATACATACATAATTATTAATTGATTATTGAATGTTCAAATAATTTTCGAAATTATGCACGTCAATAAACAATTACCTACAGTACACCCATACATACATATATATGAACATAATAATATAAAATTTTACTATAATAATATTCATACATTTCTATGTATGTATATATGTATATATTCAAATTTAAATTATTTTAATCCAATGAACCTTGAGCACATATAACGTAGTATTATAACATATTAGATATAATATTTAAAATACGTATACATTATACATATTGCTTATATACATACATATAAACCTAATGCACACATGTAATTTATAAACAACAAACATTATAAATTTTCAAAGTATAACAATAATTATTGTTATAATATAGTGTAAATAATTATTTTTGTTATAATATAGTGTATATGTAGGTGTTTTTATATAGAGGAATATATGTAACACTGTAACATATTGAATATAACCTTGATATGATCATGAATTTTTTTGTTATAATATCAAATATTTTTTTTAATATCACACTATTATGAATTTATCCCAAAAAGGTAAATTTCTTCTATATTATTTTTCTACAACCTTAAGTAATTTAAATATTTATATTTTTTCAAATATTAAAAAATATATATACATTATTGTATGTATGCACGAATAATTTATACACAAATCGTTCTTTTTTTTAATCAAATACCAATTATTAAACATAAAAGATCAAAATTTAAAATACGATAAGAATAAATCCTTGTGGTTCCATGTTGACCGTGTTCAAATACTTAAAAAAATATTTAAGAATTTTCTAATATTTTAATTTTTTTTTTAAGATTTATTCACATGCTTTTAATGTTATAAAATAATACAAAAGAATATAATAAATTTTTTTACATACTGGCTCTTAAGATGACCCTTTAAAAACTAAAGCTTAATACGGAAATATAATGTTAATATTTACCTGTAAATTGCGTTAATTGAGATATTTTTGTTTAGTTATATATATATAATATTATGTTGATCGATTGAATTCGAAAATTTTTATAGTAAATAATTGATTAAAAATCAATTTTCTTTTATTGTATTAAAAAAAATTTACTTATAATTTTTATTTGTATTGAAAATAAGGAAAACGAAAAAACAATTAATTGGACAAAAAAAGTACCTACAATATAAATGCATAAAATGAGCCGCTATATGAGAAAAAAAAAAAAACGTATTTTTTTGTTTTTTGTAACAACCGCACCACTAATTATACTTATTTAGAAGTAAGTATACTGTGAGAACTAATACGGCCAGTTAAAGGATACTATATAAATTACTACTTTCTTATTTTTTTTGCTTATAAATGTTCAATGTATATGTGACATTTTATAAGTAGCAATACAGTAATATCAAAAGAAATTTTAATGTAGGTATGTAAGTATAGCTTTTCTATATAATATGCATTACAATATTTTTATTACGTGTAACGTTAATGTAAATAAGTATATATTATGTACATACTTCAATATTATTGTACTTTTCTTTGTATATGTTTTGTTTCATCGGATCGATAGTAAAGTTTTTTTCTTCACTTTACACAACTTAATGCTTTTTTAAATTTATATTTTGACCAAATGTTAGGGTGGGAAAATTAGAAAATTAATAATTTTTAAAAAAATATGTACATATTTATAATTTCTAAGCATAGTTTAATGGAATAATAAAATTTTTATTCAAGAATTTCAATTTCAATTAATACAAGAATTTCAAATTATTATAACTTTCTTTTAAAATATATAAGTAGATGTCGTGTCTTAAGCGTTGAAAATGCGTTCTTGATGTGAGCATTATAGGCAATTTCAAACAAGAAAGAAATTATTGACAAAATGAATATGGAAAATTATTGCAACAATTCTTTTCAAAAAATAAATCTATAAAAAATACATTTGCAAATAAAATGAAATTTACCATTCTACTATGCCCAGGAATTTTTCAACCTAAACCTAGCTTTTTAATAAAATTTTTATTTATTTGTATTTCAAAATCAAGCAAGTTTCTCTAATAAAAATTAGTTTCCATATCTAAAACTAAGCTTATTTTTTGGTCTATTAAAATCTCATTTTGCAAAAAATTTCTACAATCGAACTTGAAAAATACTTAACATAGTAATATAAATGCCGTAATTATACAATAAAATAAAAGTTCTTTCACACCTTTCATATTACATTTTATTAAATTACATATAAATTTAATGTTAATTATATGTATTTGTAATTTTTTAGTATTTTTGCTTTAAATACTTAATTTTTCCATTTATATGAACTGAGAAAATGTGTAACAAAAAAAAATTAGTTCGCGTTGATTTTCTTTAGCATTTACTTTGGTTCCAAATATTCAAATAATATTGATTTGATTTTTCCAAACTAAATCAAATCAATATTTTGAATATTTTTTTTTAAATTTATGAATTCCATTCTGATTCAATTTAATTTCTTTTTAATTTTTATTTAAAAAGTATCTAAAAATAAAATATAAAGTTAATTACACATAATCATAAGAATATGTATGTATGTATATAAATTATCCGGTTTAATACTTTTTAAATCAAAACTAACGGAATAAAAGGTAAAATTTTATAAGTTTTAGATACTTACTTAAATTTAAACCCACTAATTATTTAAATTTAATTTTAAATTCCAAGGTTTTTTCTACTTCCTTATTTTCCAATTTAAAATATTTTTCTTTTCTAACTATATACTTATGTATATATATAAGAGTATTATTCAAGGTCTATATAATAATATTTATCTACCAACTAGCGAAACTTCTTTGAAACTCTCACCAAAGTGAACTGCGTAAAAAATATTTATTTTTAGTAAAAAAGAGAATTTGCTATTTTTAGACATTATTTTTTTTAACGTAATCTTTTTTTTTGTTACTTCCCTTTTTCGCTTTTGTTTATTCCTTATTCTTCTTTTAAATAAATAAAACTACACGTATGTATGTAACTTGAATACATTAAAACGTCATAAAAGAAAGACGTTCTTCTAAAATGACATTTTGTTCATTTTTATCCAACATGTGTATTTATATTAATTTGTTTATACATAGTCAAAGCTCATTTAATGACATTTAAGAAACCAAAAATTTCTCAAAAAACAATGTTGGCATTATTTTTTAAACGAATTGTTTAATAAAAAGTCAAAGAATGACAAATACGAATTATTGATTTACAAGAAAAAATTTTTCTAAATTTTTAAAAAGATCGTTTTATTTTAATTAATTTGAGAATAATTTCTACAATCAATTTAACATTACAAAATCTTAATTTATTGTTTATATATGTATATATTATATAAATACTTAATATTTCTTGGCATATTGGTTACAGTAATTGACTACAAACAGTTCAGCAATTATACGTATACATTCATTTATAATCTGAATTGTGTTTTTGATTGTTATATGCTGAAATTTTCAATATTAATTTTTTAGCAAAAAAATATTAAATGTCCACCCTAAAAATAACAGACTTTTTACAAGTGTAAGTACATAAATTTAAGAAAAAATTAATGAAAGGAAAAAAATTAGAAAATAGCCACATATGTACGTATGTATGTACATTTTACATTATAAATATAAATATACATATAATATTTATGTATATATTATTTTAAATATTTATAAATATGTAAAAAATACTTGTTGTATATAATATTTTAAACAAATTCTGAATTAACTAATATTTTTACATTAACTTACCCTCTGGGTAATAAGGGAAGATGATTACCAAACAACCATAACCGTTTTTCACCAAACCATTCGTCCATATATAATGCCGAATGGTAATAATATTGATGACCAGCTTTTAATGCAATATAAAACAAAAAAAAAAAGCAAAAAATCAAAAAATAAAACTGTAAAAGCTATTTGTTTTTTCTTATTTTCAAAATAATGTTTTTGCTTTTAGTACACACAAAAGTCCGTTTTTCTTTCCCTTTCCAAAATATTTTTTTTCCTTTTCTATTTGTGAAGAATAATTTTATTATTTAGTAATATTTTTTATACAATTTTCATTTTCCACTATGGTAAAATTTTTATGAATGTATTAAAATGACCTCTGTCCTTTTCATTACATGTAAAATAATAGTTATTTTTAACACCATGATATTGTAAAAATTGTCGCACACACTTAAACATTTTTACTTTTAAATATTTATAACTGTAAATATACAAAAGTAAATTTGTATTTATTTACAATGTATGCATTTATTTGTGTTTTTTTTTAATTATTTTAAAATATTAATAATTTTAATAATTTTTACTTAATTATTTTTCAAGTAATAATAGTTTTAGGATTATTACGTAGTTAAATTCAATTGTGTAATGAACTAAAAAAGAAATACTTGGAATTGAAATACAAAACATATGAGGGGGTCGAGAAAATTCATTTTATTTTCTTTATTACAACTCCTTTTTGTTTTATATTTTGTTTTTAGCTCTTTATTTTATTCTAGAATTGAAAATAAAAGTGAAAAAGCAAGCAAATAGAGAAAAAAAAAGAAATTTCAAAATATTGAGTTATAAATGTCATCTAAAGGGTTACAGATTAAAAATACAAATGATTTATAATATAAAACCACTTACTATTGTAATACAAGTACAATAACGTTGAAGTAAAATGAAACGAAAAAAAATTAATAAAATATTTTAAAATATTTTTAATTAAGAAGAAATTTATTTTTCAATTTACTTAATTATAAAATGTAAATGAGTATGATTTCAAAAATATTTCAAGCTCAATAAGAACTACCAAACGAGGATCAAATTTAAAAAAAGAATTCATTTCGACTCAAAGTAGATTGAAATATTTATGTCAATTTCATTTATTATTGATTTTGTTTTATTTTAAAATGTTTTACCATCTAAAATATAAACGAAACTTCTAATCCATGATATTTCACAAAATAATATTTATTTAATATACAAACATATTTAAAATAAAAATATACATAAGAACTAAATTAAATGGAATTATAAATATTTTTTGCTAGATTTGTGTACGTGTGGTTGCCCTAGGTGAATTTCTAGTATTGTTTGCATAAAAATATAAACAAGTGATATTAAACCAAGTAATACGTACTAGTATCTATATGCGTATGTATTGTATTGAGTCATACAACGAAAATAACAAAATAAATTCATAACTTTTGAACATTTATACTTTTATTGTAACCACACAATAACAGTTAAACGTCATCATGATATATTAACATGTGTATATGTATACGTATGTATATTGTAGTACAGAAAAAATAAGAAATATATACATTTTCCTTTTTACTTCTTATTTTTTTCTAGAAGGTTTACAATCCAAAATTTTTAGTGTATTTCAAGGATTTGAGCAAAAACAAAACCTCCTCAACATAGACATGAATTAATATAACTATAGGTAGAACCTTCAAATGAAAAATAGTTTCCAAAATAAAAATAAAACAAAATTTGATTAGAAAATTATGGTTAATATTTTATAAAGACTTAAAAATTGTAACGTTCAAAATTGGTAGATATGTAGTTGCAATAAATGTACTCAAAGAATATTTTACCAAAACATACATTCGTACATACATATACTCGTACTTATTCTAACATATGAAAGTAAAGTAAAAGTTAGACAGTTTGACGGGATTTTTATGTAAGTTTAAATTTATGATGTCCTCGAAAGAAATCAGAAAATTGAACTCATATTAAATAAATTGGAATTTAATAAATCAATATAGAGTTCTGTAATTCTCAACAATTTTATAATAATGAAAATAGTTTATTTTAAACGACAAAATAGATTGATATTTATTCTACGTTAATGTTTGATGTATTTATTAAGAAATTTTTTGTAATTTTCTCATTTTATTATTAATTTACTCATTTTGTTATTAATTTACTTGTGTACATATATAATCGTGAAAGGCTACAACATTTCAAAATCAAATAATAGTTAGTATAATACTCAAAAGTAGGTATTTATATATTTATTATGTAGTATAAATTAGAAAGTAAAGTAAGTTATACTTGTTCAATAATAAAATAAAAAATCCCAAATCCAGACTTACGAATTTTCTTGATTAAATTAAATAATAAATAATCTTTAAATACTTTTACTTTGAATATTTTTCACATATATCCTAGAGTAATAAGGAATAAATGTAATTAATATTCATGCACATGTACTTTTATTTTCGTTTATTTTTTCTAAAAATATTTTTGTGTCATTATAATATTTTTGTTAATAAAACAAAATTATTTTTCTTATATTATTTTTAAGTTCTTGATATGCTTTTTTTACAAATGAATACAAAAAAGTATAGACAAAAAAAAACTTCCAAAAAAAAAAAAAAAGAAATATTTTAAGTATGTACGCTACAAATTTCATTGTAGAATTTTCTTTCTTTCGTAGATCATAGTTTTCTTATAAAAATACCTGGCCAGTGAGCTGAATAAATAACATACATATATTGTTTTTTAAATTTCAGGGTTTTAAAAATTAAATTGTAATTTTAACTATAAGTAAAAGATCTCAATATCGACCTTTTAACAGGTCCTGACAGCTTTGTATAAAAGTGCATACCTAATGAGCTGTGCAGTATAACTATTCTGAAAATTGACTTACATTTTGAAGTTTACAATCTATAATTTCAACTTTTAATCCAAATTTATAGCTCCCAATTTTCTGCAGGACGTAGTAGCTAATGAACATAGTTTTTCTAGGAACACCATCTCAAAAATCCTGTCGAAACTTTAACCGAAAAATAGGTAAATACAAATTATAAATACTTTTACAAAAATTTACAGATGTACATTAAAAACTAATATACGGAACTGCTGATCATAGTCTACAGTATGGAAGTTGTATAGATAATGAAGTTTTGTTATACATACTATTTATTATGTACCGTAATTATAACGTCAATAACCTCTCATATTTACATACAAAATATCTACTACGTAGAAATTCTGTCTTTAGTTTGAAATCGTCACAATAACTTTTTTAAGCATCTACATATAACAAAAATAAATTTAGAATTACAATAAACATATGTCACGTAATAAAAGCAAATGAATATATACATATTAAGTTTTTTTTTAATATTTATGCTAATAATACAATAAGGAAGAAGAATATTATTTTAATAATATTATAACAACTGCTTTATAATAATTTATACTTGTTACATATTTCGCAAAACACACGTATTTACATACTTACATATGCAAAACATTCTGTGGTTATAAATGAAAATGAAACTTTTCAATTTTATCTCGAAATTCGAATTTTCTATACCAAGTAGATATTTAAACTGTAGTAGAATTCCCTCCGGTCTGTATTATGTTAAAATGTAGGTACTGGTAGTGTAAATACTTTGGTAATGTATAGGTATCCCAATTCGTTTCGAAATCTTGAATAAATAGTGTTGACTATTTTATAAAAACTATAATTAAGCTTCAAACTCAATTTGACAAACAAATTGTGCCTTTTTAAAAATTAATTTATTTTTTAAAATTTAACCTTTATTCTCACTTATTTACTTTTTGACAGTGATATTCAATGTATAGAGAAATTTGAAACTTAAACTTAATTGACTTACAAGGTTTTTCGCTAAAACCACAGATATTTATAATAGTATTTTATTTATAATAAAATAGAACATGTTTTTAACAATATATATATAATAAGAAAAGAAAACATTGTTCTTGTCACGAAATTTCAATTTTTGTCTTTACAGTACTAAAAACCAAAATTTTTCTTTAAAAAAATATTAAAAATGGTGACATAGAAAATTGTTTTTTTTTTTTTCTCTTTTCATTAAAATATTTTTATTTGCGGTAGGTTGATTAAACTCAAAATATATTGCACGTTTTGTACACACATGTAAACTTTCTTTTTTTTTTTTTCAAGAAAATCGATTCATCATACATTTTTAAAAGTTCTTAGAACACTATTGAATGTGCAGTAAATTTTCTTCTACTTCTTATAATTACTTATCGTAGTAAGATATTAGTAAGTTGCAAAAAATATAAATATGATAAAAACGTTGAGCCTTTTGGTTAAATTAAAAAAACAACTAATGTTTCTTTGTGCCTTTATAAAATTTAACCCTTAAATCAATAAATTCATCATCTCTTCGTTGCCAGTCTGTTTCTTTCTAAGATTCTTTAACAATCTTAGTGAACACATTTTATCTCTACAGAATAAAATTTATACATATCCGACATCTAGAAGTTATAGCTTTGGAGCTGTAGTTCGAAAACGCCCCCTTCCTTTCCTTAACTATAAGATTTTTTGCTGAAAATTGATCAAAGAGTACTCCCTCAAATTATTTGTAACCTTATGTAAACCTTATGTGTATATACATACATATATGCATGTTTTTAAAATTTTACAAACCATAGGTTTAATTGAATACTTTTTCAATTACACTATTCTTCGACTTTTGTCCTATAAATTAAAGTTTAAATTTTATAAAGAAAAAAAATTATTTGCTTTTTATGTTTCAATTACTTGACTATTTTTTATTATCTTTGTATATAACATATATCAAAAAAAAAAAATTCAAAATAAAAAATAATTTCAAAGTAAATTAGGAAAATTATTGAAATATAAATATACATTACATATGCAACGTAATTTTGATTAAAAATATTGCTATAAAAAACATAAATTACGTCACATACTGTAATTTGCAAATAATTAATATACAGTATATACATACATGCACATTTATGTATGTATGTGCATATCCTTATTTTTAATTATTTCTAATATGAAAATAAAATAAAACACATATAAAGCAGCAAAATATTTGATCGATAATTATTTAAATTTTTTATAATATTATAAATTATAATTATCAAAAATTTAAAAAAAAAACTTTACAAACACAAATTTCGTTTATTGAGACCTTTAGTATATGGTTAAAGGAATAAATAAACATCAAAGTTTCAATATAAAATATAAATTTTAAAATATGAGCATTTAATTAATATATATAATTTTGCTTTAAGCGAATTCTATTAAATACAATTTTAACTATATATATATATATATATAATATAAAAGTTTTATTAAAATACAATGAATATGCATTTACATAGATATAAAAATTATGATATAAGGAGGCAGTTGGTTATATGAATACGAGTATTTAATTTTCTCAATTATTAAGTACATTAAATTAATTTTTATAAAATATTTAATTTTATAAATAATTGATTGTGTATAACATGGAACGCGTAGCAAATATATAATTATGATTATTATGTAAGTCAGTTTATGCAGATTATTATACAATAAAATATATAATTATTCTAAATTTAAATAAAAAATTAATTCTAATATTTTTTAAATTTATTTTTACCTAAGTGTAGTACTTTTTTTCGAAATTGCTTAAAATAATCTACATAATTATTTACAGAAAATACAAATGAGCGGTTTTTTAGAAGTCAAATCAAATGTTTATTTGACATTGGTTGCGTACATACTATTTTTCTTAATTTTTGTTAATTTTCATACATTATAACTTAAATTTTGAATTTAAGGCCTTTTTTCAATTTAAAAATATTATATACAATATTGTATTAAATATTATTTTAAAAAGTTTTGATTTAAATTTAATAAATAAATGATTTTATATTAATTTTTTTACCAATATAATATAATAACATTAAAATGTAATATAAATGTGTTTTAAAATTTTGTATACAATAAAAATTTCATTCAATTTTGGAAATTATTTTAAGCAAAGTATAATAAGACATAAAAATTAATGTGAGATATTGTAGTAAATCGACATTAATAATTTGCAACGGTAATTAATTCACAAAATTTCGAATTTTGTATTTGCACATATTTACCAAAAAAATTTTAATAATTTTTTAATACAAAATATTAAATAACTTGGATATTTTTCTTTTTTATATTCAAAGTTAATTATTTTTACAGAAAAATTCAAAATTCTTTTTCATTATGATGTAAAAGCCACCATTGATTACATTTAAAAATATCCTCTATAATTTACTATAAACAATTGACTAAAAAGGATTTATATACGTAGTCAAATTGATAATTATTAAATTCAATGGAAACTGATAAATCTTAAATTGAAATTTTAAAAATTTATGTATGATCTGTATGAATTCATTAAGTTGCTTTATTAACCGTAATTCCACATCTTTATCCCTAAATTCAATTTTAAATTTTTGCTTTAATTAATTTTCATATCTTATTGTTAAGAGTATTAATTTCTAATTATATATTAGAATTTTTACTTACTTTTAATTTTTACTTAGTTTAATTAAAATGTATCAAGTAATAAAAAAAAATTGTATAAAAATTATAAAATTTTATAAATAAATAAAATTAAATGTTTTTCTTTGTTTTTAATTTATCCTTCTTTCATTTTTTAATACTCTTTCCCTTTTTTTAATATTACGGATAATTTGTCATTGTTACAGTAATTCACATTTAAATCGGCACTAACATTATAGAAAGTAATTTCATAATGTTATTTTACACAAGATTTATAAATTATATAATTATCTTTAAGACTTTATTTATACTTTATAATAATTTTAAAACTATTTTAAGGACTGTTTACAATTGTTTGTTAATAATATATATATACATATAAATTTCATATTTTATACATATTTAAAATATATTAAATTAAAATTTATATAAAATTTATCTATTTCAAAAGAATAAAATTAATTAATTTTTAAAATATCAAAACGTTTTCAATCTTTTGCAATTGATAATCATAAATAATTAATATATACATAATAAAAACTATAAATCCTGTAGGGCAGTGATATTTGCTAGAAAAAATTTAATTTTATTATTAGGATAATAAGAACTTAGATTATGCTTTACATCTAAGTATACATGCATATGTAAGTTCAGTTACGGTATATAAATTAATAAAAAGAAAATCTCTCAGTAAAACACTTTTATATAAAACAAATTTAGTAATATTTAAACGTAATTTAAAGAAAGTTGAGGTAAAAAATGGCAGCTCAAGGTTTAATATTATTATTATACAATAAATTTAATAATATTCTACAAAATTTATGTTATTATTTTTTTGAAATCGATATGAATATTTTAAATTTTTAATTTAATAATTATTAATAGCAAAAATCTTTTGAATTAAAATTATTATAGAAATTTGTTTACTTTTTAATATAAAATTAAATTTTTTTTTGAGAATTATCTATGATCTAATTTATGTAGAACTTAAGCAAGATTAATTTTAGCATCCAATAATTTAGTTTTAGTTCTAAATTCGTTCAAAATATGCAATGTATTACAAAATATGATCATTTAGCGACCAGTATTTTAATGTTACACAAATAAATTTTTTTATTTTATTATATTGAAACAGATTAGTGTTCAATTAAATAACACAACCAATAAAATAGAAAAATGAATAATATATAAACAGTACAGCTATAAATACACTACATATATATGATATAAAATGGAGTTAAAACAGATGAAGGGTATTTCATTAAAGTTTCCATTTGAATATAATTGAATTATAAAATCAAAACGAATGCATTTGTTAAATATTGTTTAATTAAAATGTATGCATGGTACTGTAAATTAAGGTCTTTATAATCATGAATGAGTAAATAATCGCATATAAAAAATATAGTAAATTTTAGAAAATAGTTACTATCTATAAAACATAGAATCGAAGCTTAAAATATAAGTTATTCTTTTTAAAACCTATTGTCATTACATTACTTTACATAATTAAAATATATAGAAATCTCATTTTAGGCAGGCAATTTTTCAAAAAAAAGGTTTTTTTTTTGTATAAATTATGTAATGTTCATATGCATATATATTACATATACTACACTTATTTACAATTTAAATATACTTTTTTTTATGTTTATTTATGTAATACATACATATATATGCTTATGTACTTATATATGTATATATATACATATATATATACATATAATTTGAAAACTTGTATATATCATAATTTACAGAAAAATTTATAACTTATTATGTTATCATTTTGTTTATTATAATCTTCCAGAATTATTATTACTACTACTCCATGATACTTGTGATGAACTATTAGGATTTCTAGGTGTAAGTCTTAATGAATTTCTATCTTCTTCATCCAATACGTGCTCATAACCTTGATTAACTTGTCCACCACTGCCATTAGTTGTGCCATAAATCTAAAAATAAATGAAAAATTTAATAAAATTCTATTTAATTTATTTTATTTGATATTCGAATATTAGTAAGAAAAGTTTTTATCTTACCTCACCGGGTCCACCGTTAGGACTGAATACATCTTTTATACTTAAACCCGCATTTGATGTTCTCGTATTTCTTGTGGGAATTATACCATTTGATATCTGTTCAATCATAAAGCAAACATTTATTTAAAAACTAAAAGTATTCGATTCTTATGTAATTTTTCAATAAAAAATTTTGCAACCGGTATAATATTAAAGGTATAATGAGAAACTTAAGTAATATAAATGAATTCCCTTTTAGGAACATTTTCTACTTTTATAGTGATTACTTAGAAAATTTACCGTATTTGCTGTTGTTGTTGCTATACCATATTCATTTTTAACACCTAAAGTTTGCATTTGCGATTTTCTACGCTCAGCCATGACAGAATTCTTACGAACTTCAAGAGCTCGTATAGTTTCACGACGCATAGTCATTCGTCTTGTTAAAATTGGAGTTGCTAAATTTCATATAAATTTTAATAGTAATAATAAAATATACGTAAAATTATCATATTCGAAATATTATATATATATTATATTATTTAAGAAATTACCGGGATTATTCTCATCAGCAGTTAATTTTAAGAAACGTTTTTTGAATGCGACATCAAGTGTACCAATTTGTCTACGTGGTTGCCTAGCTTTTTCCAAGTTTTGAATTGTTTTCCTCCTTGCAATGCGGTCAGGTCCACTACCTGAATCATTATCATAATCACCATCTATGCCTTGCAGTCGTTGAAGATTTTTGACTATCTCCACCGCATGCTTTTATTTTAAATAGGGGTATAAAACAGTTAAAATTAATTTTTTTTCATTTCAAAAAATTAACAAATTTTATTTATTTAATTACCTTATCAATTAAAGCATCTTGTGACAGCTCTTCAGATTTCTTTTTAAAACATAAATTCAATTCAGTTGAAGCTAAAATATGTGATAGAGTCCCAAATCGATGGAACAACATCGCCGTAAACTGTATAACTAAGATAAGAGCGAAGAAAAATACAAATACTAAACCAATCGGTTCCAGTTGAAGATATTCTTTGGTAATATGAACCTATAAAATGAATTTTTAAGGAAAAAGAATACAATATATTAGCAAAATATATTAGCAAATTTCATAGAATTGGAAAAAGGAAATAATTATGTTAGTAACCTATTATAGGACATTCCTGATAAAAATACAATATTATATCCGATCACCAAATAGTACTAATATTATTCGCATGTTAATAACCAATATACCAATACATTTTATAACAACCCTGAAAACAAATATAAATAAAAAGTCAAACTTTGTAGATCTTTAGTAGGTATAATTTAATTATAAATATGTTTAACTTTGTTTGTATATGTTGAGAAAATATAAAAATGATAACACTTTATTTTTAAAGTAGTATACGAGTATGATAAAATTATCTATAGTAACAAAAACAAATATGTGAAGTTATAATTTGGAAACCCACTCAGTATTATGTACAATGAATTATTAGACTATTTTGTTTTTTTTTTTATATTTCAAAAGATTTTATGGAGCAAAGTTTCATAAAAAAGCTTAGAACATTTGATTTTACAAAAGGATTTTAATTAAAAATAATTTGCAAAATGTTCTTTCGATTTTTGAATTTTGGGAATTAAATATTTTTAATAATTTTGTTCCAATCCTTTTGCACTAAAATTCTCAAACTTATGTTAGATAACCAATTTAGCTTAATATATGTAATTTTTCTGTGTTTTATTTTGAAGTCGTATCACATGCTTGGAATTAGGCAGGTGTAAAGTACTTAATCTAGGTACCTATCTGTCTAGACTGTACTATTGTTTTTACATTTTTATACATTAATGATATAGAAAATTTTCCTTTTTTCAGAACCAAAACCAAGAACAAGTTTAATTTTTTTTCTGGTATTACGGAAAATAGCTTATCATAAATAGAAAAATAATTTTATTGTTAAATATATCGTTTTTAAAAATTAAAATTGTTACTTTTAGTAAAAAAAATAAATTTTTTCTCTTTGTTATTCTGTGAATTTCCCAATTGATTTCTTTATTTTATTTTATATTTTTGGAACAATATGACGTAGTTTATAAATGATGTTTTTTTTTGTATTTCACTCAAAGAAGAAAACAAATTGAAAAAAATATATAGGAAATTTGATGAAAAATTAGAAAAACATGAATTTCTAAAAATTGAATTATACATATGTACATAAGTACGAACAACGTAGATATACATACATACATATACTTCATAAATTAAGCAAAAAATTTTTTTTATACTGTAAATAATCATAACTTCAAAAGTGCTTTAATATTGAAATAAGAAAACCTGTTTCACAAATTCCGTTTATCACTATATAGTAATTTATATTTTATTTTTTTATGCTACTAATATAAAATGTAATACAATGAGATCCCTTCAAAATACTGTTTTTAAAAACAACCTTTTACATTATTTAAATCACATTCATTCTTATACCAAAGTATATCGAATGATTGCGTACACTTAGGATGAGAAAAAAAATTAAAAAGTCGTTAACATAATGGTGAATTCAAGGGTTAATTGCGTGAGTTAAGAAAAATATTTATATTCAGCTGTTCTATTTAGCAGTAAACGAAGCCCGCAACTACTCTTCTACGTTTGCAGAATTTACAAATTTTAAAGAGGGGACATTGGTAAAAATTTTTTTTCAACGGAAATTCTAGTTTGTAGTAAAACTTTATTTATATCTAAAATTTTATCTTTCTGTTTTAAGGGGTGTAGAAGGCAGGCGGGACCGACAGAGGGGGAAAAAATAACCACTTTTTTCAAATTTTTTTTGGAATTGTTAAAATCTCTCAATGCAACCACTTACATAAACCACTACGAAATACCATGTGATTTAATAACTTAAAATATTTTTAATTTTTTTTTAATTTTCTTATTTAAATAAAAAAGCTTTCTTTTAGAAATCTTTAGAATTGCATCTTTTAGAAATTATGTTTTCAAAATTTTCAGCACCAAATAATATTGTGTTAGGTAATGAAAACACATTTGGAAAATAAGAAAAGAAAAAAATATTAAAAAAAGACAGACATTAAAACTTAAATAAACAAAAATATCAGAAAAAATAAAAAAATTTTAAAATGTTTAAATTTTAAAAAACATAAAAAATATCTTGTTAATTGTTGTCATTTAACATAAAACACCTAAAACAATTTGCAAACTTATTTGTACAAATATTTATTTTACCAATATTTTAAAACTTATGTATATTTTAATGTATTTTAAGCCAATTGTGCATTTGCCTTAAATTTCAATTGAACATAATTATAATATTTACCTCTGTATTAAAAAAAGTATATTTAACAAAAATTTTTGGACAAATTTAATAAAATATCAGGGTATTATTAATTTTCATTTACAATAAATGTCTAACGATATTAAACTGTCTGAAAATATGTAAAACTTTAAGTTCAACGGAATATATATATATATTGATTGAAAAAAATATCGAAATGTTAAAAAGATTAAAAGTCATATTAAGTTCACGTCCCAGAAATTCGTTTTTAATTTAGAAAATTCTAATTTCTTATCACCTAGATGACTTTAAGTTTTATTTCCAGTCAGTTTAATTTGCATTTAGGATTTTCTCATTTCTTGCACAATGTACAAAAGGCTTAACATTAAATTTTTTTTTCAAAACAACCTCAGATGTTTCTTCAATATACGTTATGTTCGTCTTGACACCAAGTGGCCATTCAACATGTAGTTTGTCTTTGTTCAATTGTAATAAGAAAACGATTAATACAAATAATGCGTTGAACATGAAGAAAGCAAAAACTGATTTATTCCTCAGTTCGATTAAATCTCGTGCAATTCTTGCCTTTGATTTTTGTACACCAATTTTATTTTTACATAATATTATTGATATATAATTAAAATTATTGTAAAATTATTGATACACAAATATACGTATTTCATTTAAAAGTTTTGCACACATACATTTGTGCATTTTATATTTTCGTAAATTTTATAATAAATCCAAAAAATTTCCACAAAGTTTTCACAAGAAATTATTTTTTAATGCATATTTAATTTTTTTCGCAAATTTTTGTTTGCAATAATTTTTTTACATAAAGCAAAAATACATCATTAAAAAAAAGAAACAAAGAAAGAAAAAGAAAATATGTTAGTAAATTCTTGAAATATCTGGGATTTTCAGCGATTCAATATTATACCTACAAGCTTTGGCATCAAAATTACAAAGAATTATTGTAGTATGCAAATAAATGAAATTGTAATATTAATATATAAATAATTTAAATTTATGAAATTATTTGATTTAAAAAAAAAAAAATGGCAATCATTAGATAATAAACAGATTCAGAGGCCTTATTGAAAATTTTCTATTTACCGGTTGTAATAATTATGTTATTTTATATGTGTTACTATTTATATTACACGCTTGTGTACAAAATATTATTTAAAAAAAATGTTTAAAGAAAATTTATTTTTCAAAACTTTAAAAACAATATTTATTTAACACAAACTTAAAATTTATTTATTTAAAAAATGAAACGGAAAGTATTACGAGTATTCAAGTTTTGCAAATTTGCTCTCTGAAAATGCATTTTAAAAATCTAATAGAATAATTATAATTTGTTTTAAATCATTATGCTCAAAAAGTAGTTAAAATTAATAAAAATTTGTAAAGTAAAGAGGGTTTAAGCAATAAAATATTTATAAGCAATTTTTAAGCATTTTAGCAAAATATATAAAATTACAAAATTTTAATTAATTTTTGAACATAAGGAAAATATGTTGTGTAATTATTACTATAATAATTTGATATTATTTTAGCAATTATGTTTATAACTACACTCTACTTGGATCGATATAGTTAAGCTATTGAACGCTGTAATTATTATTATTACTATAAATAATTGTATAAATTACATTAATTTAATATGTTTGCACATTTTACCATAACGAAGCACTACTAAAATTTAATTTTCAAAGGGATTAAAACAAAAAGATTCTACACGAATTTCTAAAGTTATTTTTGTACAATATTATTTTTCACCCAATATCAAAATGTTGAAAATATAATTGGAAAAAAACTAAAATTTTAAATATTAAAAGGTTACTATACAAATTTTTTATAGAATTCGTATATTAGCCCATTTCCAAAAGAACTATGGTATTTTTTCTTTGATCAAATATTTTGTCCGATTTGATACAAAATTTTAAAAGAAATCTTTTGTTTTATATTATCTGTTTTGATAAACACACTACTTTATCACAATTTAATACCAGGACATAAATTATGCAAGCAATTTTTTTTTCAACCTTTTGATATCGTTATTCGATTTCATTTCTAGAACAATACTGAAATGAACTTCATATGTATATTTGCATTTATAAATATATATATTATGTAATAATATATAATAATACACTATATGACAAATTACATGTATATGAAATAAATAGAAATAGAATTAGCTGTTTAATAGACTTTTAAGAGATCCTTGTTCGGCTCTTAAAGTTTGCGCTTAGACAATGGCATAGTTATTGTTATTTTAATAATTAAAATACGTTTTGCCTACTTTATGAAAATAACAAAAAAGAAACTAGCAAAATCCTATAAAATAAAGTGAAAGTAAATCGCTGAAATCCCAGTTAAAAAAAAATTTACCTCTTGTGTAGTCTCATCATATGTAATGTTTGTTTTAACACCAAAAGGCCATTTAACATGCAAATTATCCTTATTTAATTGTAACAGAAATACAATTAAAACGAATAAAGCATTTATCATGAAAAATGAGAAAACTGAAGTATTCCTTAACTCTTTTAAATCAACAGCAATTCTTGCCTAAAATTTTCAATTTGGATTAAATAACAATTACAACATTAACATAGAAAAAAAATTATTAAAAAAAAATTAACACAATGCATTTTGCAAATTTTTAGATAAATTATACCCTAAAAATTAAAAAAAAAAAAAAAACAAAATACTAAAAAGAGAATTCATTAGCAATTGAGATAATGGCCTTTTTATTTTGGCGCTGTAAAAACATTAAAATATTGAGGCTTCTTTCGTAACGAAAAGTTTCAACTATCACTTATCTACTGAAATATAAATTACCTGTTCTTCTTTGTCTTGATCAATCGGATACAAATATTTGTCAATTAAGTCCTTCCAAAATTGAATTTCACTACTTGACATAAAATCAACTTCACCTTTTCTTAATTCAGGATCTTCAATCCAATATGGGTTTGTTAAGAAATCTCGATCTTCAGTATTTGGCGCAGAGCTTTCTGCTGACGATGTATCGGATTCATTGCCATCTTTTTCAGCCACGGCAGCCAAATGATGGTCTTTAGAGCCACTTGAAGTTGTTCTACGACGATGATGACCATGTCCATGTGTTGAATGCCCATGCGGATCTAATGTATGTTCCAATGTTTCTAACCGTTTTTGTATTGAATCTAATGCATCCGCAATATGCGTTAACTGAATTTTTTCATCACTTGTTTTACCATGAGTACATAAAATACATCTAAATAAACCAGCTAAAGATATTTCAATTGAACCTTCCTCATCTGGGTTTTCACCAATACCGCTCTGCAGGAATCCTAATAAACTCTTTTGTTTAACACGTTTTGCAGCTTCTTCAGCAGCTTTTTTCTCCGCTTCCAATTCTTTTTTGGTTTTCTTAGCAACAACTTCTCTTGTTCCCCATGATACAACATTTAAATTGATAATTGAATATAGAATCAATAAAAGGTACATAGATGGAATCGAAAGCAAATAAATGAGACCAGCCGTAATACACCAGAACTCTTGGGGATGCAAACATGCCGCTATGAAGAATGAGCCGCACATAGCAATCAAGAAAATAGCTGAAGGGCTTCCCACACCGTCCTCACCTAACTGCAATGCCGTACCCACGATTACGGCCATCATTATTAAAGCATACATTGTTGATAATATTTGTGCTAGTAGCAGTTGGATATTAGATTTACACGTAAAACAAACTAACATAAATAATAAAATTGGTACAATATTATAATGAAATGAAGTCCAGTTATCTATACGGAAAGCAGCAACAAAAGCCCCCACCAACATAAGAAAAATCGTACCAGGACCAAGAATTGTACCACCCATTAACATCATTTGATAGAAAATGTAAATCATTGAAATATTATCGTTAATTTTAATAGTCCTTTTAGCATCACATAATAAATCCATAATATTGGCAATAGTAGATGGAACCCAACGACGTCGTTGATTATAAAATTCATTGAAACCTTCTGGGCAATGAGTATAAGCATCAGAAGCAGCTGAATATTCTACACGATAACCTCTCTGCAATAGTAAAGTACACAGCCAACGATCTTCACCCTGATCGTATTGTACATAATGTCTAGCTTCATCAGATCTCGTTGTATATTTTTTCATCACATTGTCGTCCATTAATGCTTTTCCACGGAAAAGTGAAAAACATCCTGGGCTACAAAGTACACAACCAATCATATGTTCAGTTGCCTTTTGAAGCCAATGACCAATAGCATATTCGAACATTTGATACCATACCATCGGTCCTGAACCGACTGGATGAATGCGACCACATGCGGCTCCTAAATTTTTATTTTTTTTCATTAAATCAACTAACAAAGTAACAGCAATCGGTTGAAAATCAATATCACCATCCAAAGTTAATAAATAAGTATTTTCTGCAATTATTTCTTTCCTTTCAACGGGAATAGGCAGTTCCATTAAACGGTGGCCTAGTAAATAATACATATACATAACTTGAGACCAGCGCTTACGATGACGAATACGATCTTTATCTTTAAGATGTGCAATCATTTTTGTTTTGCCTGGTAAAACCCAAACTAAACGACCACCATACGGTGCAGGATATTTCTTTGGTGGTCTAAGCCGGATAGTCGTTTGATGTATATCTGACGCGGCCTCATCTATTGTTGCTACAAGAAGTTTAACGAATCTATTAACTTGAATATCGTTATCACTGTGATCTGATATTTCAAAGGCGTCATCAAAGAAAACATGCGCTAAAATTTAATTCAAATTTTTTATATTAATTAATTACAATACTTCATAAGCAAATGCATGAAATTACTTTCAAACTCATAATAATCTGGGTCAACTACTCTCAAATACTTTTGGGCTACCCTACGCGCGCATTGATCTTCATCCAATCGCATTATACTCTTTAAGAATTCCATCATTTCATCTTTCGTTTCATGCCACATAGTAGCACAAGCATAAATTCTAGTAATGCTATCGGAAGACTTAATACTTGGTTTTTGTATAGCTGAGCCATCAGTATGAACTGATATCGTCTCATAATATTCGTCACCTTTTTCTTTTTGAATTTCGTCCAAGTCCTAAATTAAAAAAAAAATTTTCTTTCAGATATACTAGTATTTTTTTTTATTTCGCAGTAATACTTACCTCGGTTTTAACATCAGCTTGATCATCTCGTCTTCTATTCAATGCCATTGACTGATCTATCAATAAGGAGCTGTACATAGGACTAACAAATAATTTCTCCGTTGTTGCCAAGCGTTCACATTTAGGTGTCCAAATATGCAGTGTTATCCACGTTTGACTTAATAACCATAAAATCCAAGCCCAAGCCATCTGTTTTGAGACAAAATCATCTAAGTTAAACTGAGTCGGACTCTCGAAAAACAAATAATCCGGGATAGTTCCATGAAAAAAACATGGATCCCCATTTCGAATGCCACATGCAGCAATCAATAATGATACAGATACAGGAATTGTTAAATTTACAGGAAAAGCGTAACTAAATCCTTGAATCATGATTTTGCATGCAAATTTCCCAAAGATATAACACAAATACGCAGCTAGAATTTGTATTAAAAGAACATAAGTTACAGTATCGTGAGAAGCATCTATATCTGTTGAATCTGCAATTGTTTGTGGTAAATCAGGTAATTGGGAAAATCCATTCGTAACTTCATCAACCATAACTTTATGTGGTCCAAAACCATCCCCGAATAGTACAAACAAATTGGCCGGTTCTTCTCCACGTATCCATAATATCGATATTGTTGCGCAAAAGAAGAAAATAACTTTCCAAATAGAAATAAATGTGTAGTTGAAGTACCTAGTAAATTTCATATCTTCTTTAATACGACCTAAACTTCTTATAAAACCAATCGAAGACTGTGTCGAAACATAATTTTCCCACCAACCGCAGGAAATCATTATTGAAGCGACTGGTATTAACCAAAGTGTTAAGCGATTTTCTAATAATGGCCATACAACAAATCCAGTTACTTGTGCTGCGATAGCTGCTATATCAACCAAAGATTTAATTGCACGTTTACCTTCTTTTGATGTTCGAGACATCAAACCTAATATACCGGGTATAACACATAAACAATTTGTTAACATTGCCCCTTGAATTGCGTTTATTTCCGGCAATACACCAAACATTAAAAGAACGGTTCCGAGTACGCTTAATGTTTCCATTAACCAACAAAATGCAAAATGTGACGTATATGGACGTTTATACGATTTAAAGAAGCATATTCGAACAGAACGTATTAATGCACCAATTTCTGGTATTGTGTAAGCGATTATTATAGCCCATATCCATGCAATACGTTCTTCTTCTGGTAATGTTACAATAAATTGTTTATCACGCCCTAAATCCTTATTGCAATATGTTATTTTCTTATCTCTACGTATTTGTGACGTCATAAATAAAACACAGCCTTTTGCTATTACCCCCCCACCCAATACTATAATAAATGTTATTAAATATGCAAATACTTTTAATATTTTAACTGTTAATTCTAAACATGCTTGATTTGCTGTTGAGCCACTATCTATTTTTAATGGTGGATCTCTAAATACATCCCACCCTTTTGTTTCTTGTACCGTACGTTGACTGCAAAGAAAAGCAAGAAATTATAGTAGAGATAGAAAAACTACAATTAAAAATAAATAAAATTTAAATATCTTATATATCACATACTTATTATAATTCAAATCCATCACATACTTATTATAATTCCAATATAGTATAGCAAAATATTGCTATAACAAAACATATAAATTTCCTTTACAATCGTGTAATGAAGGATATATAGGTTTCTATTCAAGCAAGTAGAATATAAAGTGTACATGCTTACATGTGTATATACATTTTTTGCATGTGAGTAAAATAATACATAGATATGCAGATACAGAGGTTTTTTTATTTACATCCGTTCGAACGTATGTTTTATAATTATAAATTTACCATTACGTTTGTAACACTTAGGAATAGCGGTCTCAATTCTAGAAACAATCATTTCTTTTTGATCAGCATTGAATTTTAAGTCGATTTTTCCATGTCTGTCCGTCTCAGCGATAACTCAAAAATCAATTTCCTTTACTTCCACAATCCTAATTCAACAATTCTATTTGAATAGGATTTGATTGGGACAGTGGTAGCTTTAATACAACTTTCAATTTTATTAGCCTACATCTCAGAAATTATAGAAACTACTGTATCAAAACTCCGCGCAAGCATATATTTCGGACTTTTACATTTACTTGAACTCGTTAAAATGTCCTGACTAATTGAAAATGTTAATATAACTATTATTTTCGGTAAAAGTCTTGCAAATTGTATTAATTTATGTTGCAACCCATATAAAAACCAAAAATCATGTGATAATCAGTCATGATAATGATTCTTAAAATCATTTATTTGTACGGATGTCACAGAGTTGTGACCCTGTCACAATTAACTCCTTAAAAAACAGTTTTTTTTTTTATTAATCAAACAAGCTGAAAATAAAAATACATTTTTCTTTGAAATCGATAGTGTTAATTAATCACACAATTAACATATTCTTCCAAGTACAAGTAGTCAATGTGTCAAAGCGTTTATCAATTTTCCTTTTAATAAGAAAACCATAACATAAACTTTCCAGGAAAAAATATTTTTCAGTTTTTATTATATAAAAATAAATTTTATGGAAAAATAAATTGCTGTAAATTGGAAAAATATGATTTGAATATGGATGGCTTCAAAATGGAAAAATATATGAATTTTTTTTTATACATACATACATATATAAATTTTATATAAAAATATTTTCCAGTTTGACAATTTTTAAAAATGATTTGCATCCATAAGAGTAAATATTATAAATCTAGGTCACATTGATAATCTCTTCCTAAATTTTTGATTAATATAATATTATTTAAATAACTTGATTTAAAAAGTAATTTTTTGTAGATGGCCTTTAAAAATTATTTATATGCCATTATACAAACAACAAAAAATGAAAACCACAAATTTATTTCGAATTAATTTTTACACACAGATCAACAATTATTTTTCTTTGTCAACGGAAACTTGCTTGCCACTTTTGTTTTCTTTCTTTAATAAAAATTTAACATTTATATAGTGTATTATTAGTAAAAGTTTTGACAACATTCTATACATTTCGAAACTAGTTTTACAATATTTTAACACAGAATTGAAGTTATTTTTAATATATACGAATTACCGAAACCCTCTGTGATTTCATTATATTATACCAAATATGTGTACGCACATACTTACATATATTTATTTAAATATTTTAATTTACCATATTTATTATAAAAAAATTCAAAAAAGTAATAAATTTAATATAGTCATAATCTTGTTACTGTTAAGAGTTATTTTTGCTACAAAATTTGGTTTGTTGTTTTTTCATATCAACTAAAACTAAAAATTTTGGAATGTACAAAAATTCTAAATTGAACTGTATAAGTCAATGAAACCAGACAAAAATGATTCTATATTTCCTAATGGTTTCAAATTACAAGTTAATATTAAGATTTAAGAATTAATTTTTCGATACAATGTTAAAGTATAATTATAACGTTCATACGTACATATCTATACCAAAAACAGTTTTTTGAAACATTTTAACTTCCACATAATTTTGCTAAATAATTTTTAAAACATAATGCCCAAGAATTAATTTGAATAAATTAACTTTTTTTTGATTGGTAATTTTTGAATAACAGAAAATAGCATGCTTTTTTCTTCGCAATTTTTTCAAAGCTTTGCTTTTGATCTTAGTCTTAAGTGGGACAATGAGATCACCGAAAATACATCAGGTAAATTACACTCATTGTTGATCATAATGAATTTTAATACATTAAAATTTAAATAATTTAGTTTTAACAATTGTTAAAGAGATTTGACTCTTATTTTTCAAAATTAAATTTGTAAGAAAAATATTTTTTTCTAAAGCGAGTTTTTGTTATAGTTAATTTTCGTAAAATAGAAAAATGTTGAACAATTTGCGAAGTATCTTGCTGAGAGCTTTTGAATAGAATTTCGAATTTTTATTACCGCTCTTTTATTTTTTTTTATGCAGACAAGTAAATATTTATAAATACATACATATGTATGTGAACTCCACATAAAAATAGTACATACAAAAAGTTATATATTTAAAAATCCTAGAGTTTAAAATTTTAACAGAAATGCTTTGCAGAAAATCAGAAGGCAGCTAAAGAAGAAGAAAAATTACATGATAAAATAGAATGACACGGTCCAACTCCAACCTGCAGTAATATGGTGAGCATAATCAGGTTTGATTTACCGTGAGACAGTGAGTTATTTGGCGAAAATATGCTTGCAAGAACCTCAAAAATCGTTTTGTCAAGTTTCAAAACATTCGAACTTTAGAGCAATAATACATTGCTCTAATTTTATACGAATATATTTAATGCCAAGGATGCCAATTTAATAAATATTAGTAGGAGTTTTAACCATTGTAAGATATTCTTTCTGTCTTCTCTCATTTTTCAATTGCTCTCTCCAAATAAATTATCAATCATCCAATTTTATATATTTAAATTTAGCTATATAAACTATCTCTCACAAGTTCATATATGCCAATATATATATACCTGCGTAGTTCGCATAATTAATTGTAAAAAAGCATACAAATAACCCTTCTATAACGTTCCCCCCAACTTAGAGTACTTCTATTCTTCATACCATTTCTAAACTTATAGTTTTTTTTGTTAGATGAAACCGAAAATATTTCTTCTGAGTTAAAAAATGAGATTATTGAGTTTTTTTCATATTCAAGACCTTTAGAAAGAAAGAAAATCGAAATATTGAACATGTTCATAAAATTCCTGTAAAAAGCTAAGTATTTAATCACATTGCTTCAGCGATAGAAACATTTCAAGAATATAATTATGATTTATATAGATCACAAAACGTTACAATTAATGTATGGAATTGTGTCACGGAACATTTACGAGAAATCTACAAAAATAAAGGATCTAAAATATACAAGGATCTTTAAAGGATGGTTTTTTTATTCAAAAGTACGAATGTACCGACGTATATTATGCAATATACATACATAATATATGCATATATATATCACGGGTCACGGTGAGTTGGGGATTAGAAATACCCACAGCAGGCATGCTTGAGGTACGAGTCCACTAAAATCTAGGCGCGTCTAATCCAGAGTGAACGGCTTCTTGGTCTGCATCCGATCACAGATGACGAACAGTAGAAAAGATCTGGCTGCAAAATAGCTATATATCTCATAACTAAATATTAATGTTCAATATATATAATATAAATGCGATCAGAGAAGTCGCGAGTGAAAAGAAAATTTAGAAGAAAACCACAGAAGGTTATACAGAAAGAAAGTCTGATGCAGTTGTTTAATTTACCTCTGAAGGTAAAATCAGAAAAGGGACCAATAGTCATTTTGCGAATAAGCCATTTGGAAAACATGATAAGGAGCTGAAAGAAGAAAGCTGAACCACAAATTCAAGGCAGAAACCAAAAGAAGCTGAAGAGGAAATTCAAGAGTTCATCAGAAATGGAACAGGCGCTAGAAATGAATAGCACTAAAGTAGGGAAATCTCCACCATTGAAAAATGTTCAATTACGCACAGTTAACAATGATCCTCAAAGAGGAAAGCATTGTCGTGAAGGTAAACATAATGAACAATGATCAACCAAAAATAAGTATATAGTCAATTAACTTAAGCTGCTAAAAAAGCCGAATTGAAATGGCATTCTTATGAAAATAAATAGACGAGGCGAATTAAAATAATGATACGAACTTCAACATGTAAGCTACAGGACTTTTAGTGTAAATTTATCCAAAGGGGATTCAAATGTGTAGTTGATTAAATTAAAAAAATAAAAGAAAATATTTAATAAAAGTTCTAAGTAGAAAGCCCTGGAAGTTTTTCTTAGAGCTAAAAATATCAATGTAAGTATTTTTTCAGAAACATACTTGCGGAAGGATTTGGATGTGCTGGATAGGCTATAGTGTAACTCACCTTGGTAATTATTCAAAGGGAGGTAGTACTATTCTAATTAAGGAAATATCGCAAATGTGAATAATTAATTCTAATTAAGGAAATACAGCATAGTGAAATATCGCAAATAGAGATCCAGAAATTTCAACTTGTCGTGGTTAAAATTTAATCTATCAAGCAGAACTTCTATATTGGTTCAGTACATGGTCCATCAAGATGTAAGATAAAAAAGGATAGTTTTAAAGACCTCCAATGCGTGCACAGAAGAAAAATTCTTCTTCTTCTCAAACGCACAGAAGAAAAATAGAAAATTTCAAATCAGGAACTAAAGATTAAAATTACTCGTTGTGGAAAGCAAGTCTCTTCGTTGCTTAACCAATAAAACGAATCCCCCCACTAAAACAAAAGCAGATGGATCATGACAAAAAAAACTGTAAGGACAAAGCTGAACTATTTGCTAATCACTTGAAAGGAATTTTTCAACTAAATGAACTGAATTTTAGTGTTTGTTTACTAGAAGAATTTATTATGATGGATGAAAACACCCTATTTACACAAAGATATATCGGTCAAAGATATATAAAAGTTATTTAAATCGAATAACGCTCCATTTAAATCGAATACAGCAGTTAATCTGAGTTATCTTATTATGATAGAAAAAGAATTCTATCTCAAGGCAAAATTCTGAAAGTAAATCTGCACATATAATTTCACAAACAAAAATTTAGTAAACCCACCACAACTGAACTAAATGATGCTAAAGTATCAATCCAAAACACAGCAAAATATCTAGGTATGACTTTGGGTGTCTTTACTCCACGGCTCGAACAGTAAGCGAAGTTAAACGACAAGTAAACGAAATTAAACTGCATGTAAAAAGAAAGATATATGTATACGTATTATGTTTTGCACATATATACGCATGTGTTTATATATACATCTTACATAACAAACCCAACTACTATTATGTAGATAAGTACATGCAAACATATATGTATGATTATTGCTGTACATTCAAAACATAAAGAATTTGCATACGCATTTGTACATATTTTTTTTGGGTAGCACATTCATGCTGCAAACGCAAAGTTCTTAATCTTTGCAATGTCTAGCAAATTATATCAATACTTACATATACTTATAATGAACCTACAAAGCTGTACATACACAACTTGTAAATCACAAAAGTGGTACATATACATATGGTATATGTACATATAATATGTTATGTATGTTCATATAAAGTTTATAAATAAAAATTTATACATATACTTATACACATTCATAGTGGTAAATGGAGTTCGCTACAAAAGCAAAAACGTCGTTGTGTTTGTTTTTAGCACTTTTCCAAAAAATTTTTTGAAAAAAGTGCTTATTAGTTTCACTCTGTCCGTCCGTCCGTCAGTCCGTCTGTCCATGTGTCTGTTTACAAAACTTCTACACCCTTAAAGATAGAAAGCTGAAATTTTATATGTACATAGATCTTTACTAGAAACTTATTTCCGTAGAACAAAATTTTCACCTATCTCCCCCCCTCTAGAAGTTATACCCCCCTAAAACCCTAAAAATGGCCTTTTTTAAATATTTGTTGCAATGAAACCATAAGCATTTTCGAAATTTTTCAAACGCAGAAAGGACTTGCTTCCCCTAGCGCGGTATACTATAGTTAAACTTTAGAAAAGCAAAATGGTCGTTCAAATTTACCGTTATCTAAAGTTCTTTTTTTCCAAATTTTTGATCTCGTTTTTTCTTCTAGACCCTATAATGTAGAACTTTGAAATTTTAGGGGCTTTTAGACATTAACAAATAGTTCATTTCGTTAGAAGAAAATTTTTTTCCATCTCCACCCCCTCTCAAGTTATCGCCTCTTGAAATTCGTAAAATTTGAATTTTTGACACCTTATATTTCCGAAACCACAAGTTTTTTCAAACGCAGAAAGCTAACGGTAAATTCCATGAAATTAAAAAATATAATTATTTTTCTTAACTCACACAATTAACCCTTAAAATCGAACATTATGTTAACCCCTTTTTATATTAAAAAGGGGTTAACATAATGTTTTCATTATCCTAAATATATGCAATCCTAGAAATAGTTTTATATATGAATGAAAATAATTTAAATAGTGTGGTAGGTACACATAGACTGTATTTAAAAGCAGAATTTTCACTTGTTGAAGGGAAAAGTGCTACAATACAAACCATTGGTTTGACCCAACTTTATTTAAGTACAATTTTATTTGAAAACTTTTTATTCAACCAACAAATTTGAAGAATAGAAAACTAAAGAAAAAGTAGAAAAACTGAAAAACAAATTCGATTTCATTTTTAATAACACCTAACGGTTGATTTTTTTTATATTATTTTGGTTTTTCGTATCTAATTTTCAATTTTCGTTTTTTTCTTCTCTTTTTTTTACCAATTAATTTACTAGATTTTTCTGTTCCATTCACATTAACGAGCTGTATTTTAAGTTTTTTTGTTATGTTTTCATAAACCAACTAACTCATAACTTGAAAAACAAGTTTCACTTTTTTAATTACTTTGAATATTTTTGAATAGATAAAATGGTTATTTTTGTTTTTTTTTAACTTTATTTTGAAATAGTTACTTTTATAAAAAGAGAAATACACACATAAATACATACTTGTGGATGTACATACATATGTATATACGATATATACAAATATATTTTTTTAGTTGGCTAAAAGTTGATTTGAAAATTTATAGGTTTACTGTGTTTTGTCACAGGGGCCTCTTCATAACCAGAAATTGTGATAAAGAACTTGGTATACTTATTCTTTTCATGTACTTATGTATATTTATATACATATCTATTTTGTAAAAAATCATATAAATACTTATATACTTCCATGCACGTTTGCAAATATGAAAAATTTATAATTTTTTGATTTTTTCCTTATATTGAAAACAAAAGAAGATGATTATATCATGAGATACATTTATGGCTTGAATTACCGGATCTGAAATATGGAAATTGTGACATGAACGTACATATTTTATATTTTATACATACATTTTAAGTATGTATACAAAATGTATCTTAATGAAATAAAATAATAGAAATATATATGTAGTTAGTAAAATATAAGAGAATTTAAAGATCTTAATCAGCTAGGTCGGTATTCAAAACTTGTCACATTATGTACATACATACATCTGTGTACAACGAAAAGCTGAAAAAATTTCTACTTACAGTAGAATCCTTTAAGACTTGGCGCTGGAATTTCATTGGCGAAATTTTACACACACTCGTAAATAAGAATTCAACTGTCAGTGAAAAGCAAAATCATAAACTAATGATTCGATGTAAAAAAATTGATTCTCTAAACTTTCTATATTGAGAAGAGTACTAAACTTTATATTTTAATTTTAAGCGCCAGCAACAAAATTTCGATCTAACTTATTTTATTTATTGCCACATAATAAAATTTTGTAAAAAAGTTAAATCGTAAAACAAAACCAGATTAAAAGTTTTAAAATATAAAATAAGAAACTTCTTTCACATTTTATTTGCGTGTTTTAAAAAAGAAGTAATTATTGATAGTTGTGTTAAGATTGGTATCTGACCTTGAGCAAAACGTATTTAAAAAAATATAGGTTCTCAAATATAAAATATTATGAGTTATGATAAATTTATTTATAGAAAATGAAAACATTGTCGTGTTATTAGTATTAAAAGTGAAATTAATACTAACAGGTATGTATGTATATACATGTATAATCCATTTCAAAAACACTATTCAAATGAATAAACAAAAAAATATAATCATACAAATTATTTTAATATCAAATACGCACCTTCCACCATAAATATCCTGAGTCAACGGTGTGCTTTCATCATCTGAATAATTATCATCACTATCAGCTATTGGACCTCCACCACCACCTGGTCCTAACGGTCGATGTCGTATATTTGACATATTTTTACTTTTTTTTTTTATTTGAAGAGCTTTAAAAAACTCTTCCAAATAAAAGAGTTAATCTTTATGACTGTTGTTACTAAATTAGCTTTTATTTCAAAATTGATTCCTTTAGTTCTGATTTAGTCGGTGTATAAAAATCAAAAAAAATAGCAGCACAGCGCGCGTCCGGTTGAATTTGTGTTGAACTTTCTTAGTTCAAAGCACTTATTCACCTTTCTGAAATATAAGTCAAAATAAATAAAAATTAATTTAGAACACTTATATGTACATATGTAGAATCAATAGAGCTAAAATTATTGATCAATTTTCTTTACACATATAATTTCCGACACTCTTTATTTTGAGAAGTCCAAGAGAAAAAATAATGTTGAAAAATTAAAAAAATAGTTAATTTCCACAGACATTTTTCCTAAATAAGGTTTAACATTTAATTTTCCAACTTTCCAAGTTAAATTACACAATTAATTTTCAACAAACATTTTTTCAGGTTTTGAGGGGCGGAGAGTGAGATTTTGATTCACTATATGAAATCAAAATGCATTTATATTCTTTAAGTTTTTTTTAAGTTATAAAGAAAAACTATAAAATTGTTAAAATTTAAGTCTAGTGTCAAAATAAACGAGTATAGTAGGGAAACAAATTTGTTTAATATTTTTAAAAATTAAATATTCTGAATTGATGAATTCGATTAAAAATAAATCGTCTCTTCAATTAAATATTAAATGTGACAGATTTATTTTTAACTTAGAATAAGACTTCAAATTAACCCAAGCTTCTTATTAATAATGCATGATTCATGTACATATTTCTTTAAAAATAGAATAGTCTATTTTAACATTAAAATGATTTTTTTTTAGAATTTTTTATATTAATTATAAACTCAACCGTAAAATATAATATTTCGCTTTAAATACTTAATGCACTATACATTATATTATATCCACATACGTACATGATACATGAACATTTTCATAAACTCATACATTTCCATATACCGATACCTTCAAAATCCAATTAAATTCGGAGAAGATTAATATTTTCATATTTTAATGAAAAAAATTTAATTAAAATATTATAGAATAAAATTCTTCCCGATTGATTCATGATTGCAAATATGCTCACACAATGTTCATAATTATAAAAAGAAAACAGAAAAAATAGAGTTGACGGTGTTAACTCTGTGATACCCGTACGAATTTTCTATTCTATGTGCGCACAAATTTATCATAGTTGATTATGGGACAGACTATAACTTTGAGTTACCATATTAATTTATTCAAAATTTCAGTACTGGCTTTTAAAGTTTCTGAGATATAGCTAAACAAATTTTCCAGTACCCCGATCCAATACCCCGATAACATCCAATTTAAATAGAGTTCTAGAATTGACTACAATAAATCATTTGTGAAAATTTGAGCAACTTAGCTCAATTCTCAATTTAAGTTATCGGATAGAGAAAGCTAAATCAACTCAGAATTCGACGCTGATCAAAAACATACACTTGAGTCTATATATAAGACCATTATTTCTTAGCGTTACAAACGGTAAGACAAATTTAGTATACCCTTCGAACATACATTCGTACGGGTATAAACACCTTTTAACTTGTTTCATATTATCACATCTATAGCATGCATGTATAAATGAATGTAAATTATGATTTATAGAAATCCTTAATTATAAGTCTGCAAAATTTTTGTAAAAGTCAAAATTGGACTACCTTTAAAATTAAATCTGAAATTTATTTTTTAAATTAATTGAATTCAGTTGTTATTTCAAAATATACGTGCATATGTAAATATTTGTTATACATACCAAAACATACTTAACATTTAACAGTTCTATAGGACTTACAAGCATGAAATAAATATATAAAAATATATATATTTAAATATATTCACATACATACGTACATTTAATTAGTTTTGTAATTAATATTCAATTAATATTAACTAAATATTCACAAATTCCACAATATGAATTCAAACATACAATATTGTATCCATCCATTGTACTCGTATATGTATACAAATTATACATGAAATTTGTAGCCTTAAAATTTATTATAATTTTAAAAATGCCATTCACATACATTTACTATATGTATATGCATATAAAATCAAGTTACAAAGTAGTTTTACACTATTTTCACAAGCAACGCATATACGGTATGTATAGATATTCAGTATCTATATTATATATATATATAAAAAAAGTATATATATAATAAAGTATATAATATAATATAATGCATATAATGTATAATACAACATGCATTTACATGGTCTATTATATAGTAATATTTTGATTGCATATGTGTGTGCATATGTGTGTATACAATTCCAGAAATTTTCATCTTTATACAACTACTTTATAAATATAAAATTAACATTCAATCTAAAAATGAAAATCTTTACAATAAATTTTCTTTCCTTATTGTTACGAATATAGTACGCTTCTTTTTGCACTAACATAAATACCTAAATACACTTAACTTTTATTAGATAGTAAGTTATACTTATAATATACAAATATTTTAACCAGTTATTTTTAATCTAACGCTCACGCACTTAAATGTTTCTACATAATTTATGTAAAAATTATGTACAATTACAATTACATACATAATTGTTATTTATGATATTTTGAATATTTTTGCAATTTTATTCGCGCAAATTTGTTGAATTTTGACTAGAATATTATAGTGCGGTTTCTACAGTTCGAATTGAACAAGTTCGAATGCATGGTATGGAAAGTTCATAAAATACAAAATCAAGTAATATGTTGCATTCAAGACCTTTACTAGTTACTTCTACAAACTGTTCATTTGAAGCCTTTGTCTTTTTTCGGAAGGGAAGTTATAAGCAAAAAGCTTATTAGAAAAAATTTCATGGAAATTCGTTAAAATCCATGCATCTCGGAAACCATTGAGTTTTGACAACTAGTCCCAAACAAAAAATTTACCCATTTTTGATGCCCTCAACAATGATATATAATATTGTACTCTCTACTGAATCACCCTGTATATACATAGTTATATTATTTTGATAAGTAAATATTCTTTTATTATACGTAAATTATATACAAAGTCTATTTTACTATAATATGTTTATTCCTTTTAAATTTTATTTTCATGAAATTTTGATGGAACAAGATTAATATTTTTTTAAAGTTCTATAATTTATAGTTTTACCGCTTTTTATGAATGTATAAATGTGCGAATGAGCGTATACATATATTTTTTTTGTTATAAATTGCGTTGTAGAGAGTATATTGTATCTTTTGTTTTGATCTTCATTTTTCACATCTCATTTTTTCCTATATGGCTGCATCTAACCTCTACTCTAGGTCTTTAAATAAATAAATTTAAGTAGAAAACAAAAATAAAAGAGAAGAATACCAAACCTTGATATAAACACTGTGTTAAGAAAAGCAAAACAACAAAAAAAATAAAGTATTATTATTATGAAAACATTTTTTTTTATAGTAGATGACCTTAAGATGAATTTTAATGTAAAATTCAGATAAACACAAGAAAATCACCATCGATTGTGAATACTAAACTAATATATATGTACATACTTATACATAATATAGCTATATATGTATATATTCAATATATTTTTTTTGACTTTTACATATGTATTTATTATGTATGTACATCTGTAATATCGTGCTTACAATTGAATCTATCGATAACATTAACGATGCAGTAATTTTTGATCTGCACCCGCTATTTTATTTTCTTTTATAATTTTTCATTTCAGACATTGCAGTTTTGACTGATATTTTTCTGTAAATTTAATATATAGACACATACATTCGTAATTTGTGAACACATATTGTGTAAAAAATTGCTTTTAAATATATTGTTGTCATATATGCTTTTCTTATACATATGTACACACATAACTACATTATATTATTATTATTATTATATTATAAGAAAGATAATATGTATAAAATGAATAAAATATTCTCTTCTTAAAAGTGAAGTATGAAGTGATAAAAAACAAAAATCTGGTATGTTAGGTTCAACTTTTTTTTGAAATGAACATTTCATACTTATATGCAGGAGGCCAGTAACTTTTTTTATATGTACATTGTCTTAATTTTTAAATATAAGTGACTATTTGTACTGTAGTGTTTAACGACCAAGTCTACATTAATCTTATTTTTTTTTGCACTGATTACGATGCTACTTTTTTATATATTTAGTTACTTGATTTTTTATAAGGTTGTTTAAAATATTAAATTGCAAAAACATTAAAAATAGTTTTTAATTTCATTCTAAAAAAGTTCTAAAAATGAGCTACATTTCAGGTTTCATCATTTACGATCAGACTATTAAAACAGGCAGAGACGTTTATACAAAGGATGATAACATTGCTTAGAAATAAAATTAATTACGTATAGCTATGGGATTTTAACAAATATAAAGTGGAATTTGAGGAATAGTTTTAAATGTTCAAATTGTCAATGCACATACAAGTAAACTTTAGCAAATTATAATAATATTATTTCACAGTTTATTTATTTTTAAAATATTAATTTAAAAATTTAAAATTTTAAATAGAAAATAATTTCTTTTTTGAATATAAAGAATAAACAATATTTTATACACATATAAACTTAAAAATTTTCGAATACTTCAGCGAATACATAATATATCAACCAGTGGAATAATTTTTTTAAATAATACATAGCTAATTAAATTGTTTAATGCAACGATATAGTCTTATATATTATACACTTATATGACATTTATCATTACTTTATAAAAAAAAAAACCCTACATATGTTGGTAAAAAAATGTGTTTTTTTTACTTGTATGAACATATGTTCGAAGGGTATACTAAATTTGCCTAACGATTTGTAACGTTGAGAAATAATGGTGTGAGATATAGGCGCAACTATATGTTTTTGATCATCATCGAATTCTGAGTCGATCTAGCCTGGTCTGTTCGTCCCAAAGATAACTCAAAAACTAATTGAGGCTAGTTCACCAAATTTTCACAAATGATTTATTATAGTAAATGCCAGAATCCTATTTAAATTTGATATGATCGAGGTACTGGTTCGCATAGCTGCCATACAACTTCCAAATTTATTTGTCTATATCCCAGAAACTATAAAAGTTGTGTTATTCAAATTTCACACAAACGAAAACATTAGTAGGGCCAATGTGTTTGATAAAAATCGTTGAAATTTCTGGT